GGAGGAGGAGGAGGAGGAGGAGGAGGAGGAGATCATGGAGGAGGACGGAGGAGGACGAGGAGGGAGGGATAGGAGGATAGGATAGGAGGAGGAGGATAGGATGAGGATGAGGAGGAGGAGAGGAGGAGGAGGAGGAGGAGGAGGGAACTGAGTAGGAGGAGGAGGAGGATGAGGACGAGGAGGAGGAAGAATAATAATAATAATAATCATAAAATAAAATAATAAGAGAAGAGAAGAAAGAAGAAGAAGAAGAAAGAGAAGAGGAGGAGGAGGAGGCGAGAGGAGGAGGGGAGGAGGAGGATAGGAGGATGAGGAGGAGGAGGAGGAGGAGGAGGAGGAGGAGGAGGAGGAGGAGGAGGAGGATCATGGAGGAGGAGGAGGAGGAAGAGCAGGAGGAGGATAGGAGGAGGAGGAGGAGGAGGAGGAGGAGGAGGAGGCCGTTGCCCGGTCGGGGTCGGGCCGCCGCGGGCCCCACGCGCGGGCGGCGGCAGCGCGGCGCTCGCTAGATTGGGTTGCAGTGGGGGGTAGGACACCGAGCCCCGCAGACCTCCCCCTTGCGGCGGCAGCCCCTTGCGGCGCCCGCGGCAGGCGCCTGCGGCGGCGGTGGCGCTGCCCTAGGACCGCCATCCCTGGCGGCCAGACGGCCAAGAGGCCAGAGCCCACTTGGCATCGCCGTGCCAGGCGACTCCGTGGACAGACTTCGACTGGTCCTTCATCTGGAGGCGGCGCGGATAATCTTGAATAATCAGCAACAGCTCTTCCAACTTGTCTACCACAGCATACAGATGGACTTGTTATCCGTGTCGTTAATCCACTGGGCTGTGGCCTGGAGGATGAGAGAGGCGGCATCAACCCTCGGATCGTGGCCTGGAAGGGGGAGGGACGGGCCCAGGTGCATCACACGCACCGTCGCCTGCTTGACGGCCGCCGGGGCCGTCTGCTGCGCACCAGCGACACCAGCGACGGTGCTCTCATCTCCAGTTACCTGCGCGCCTTACTTTTCTTCTTGTCCCCCTCCCCTCCTCCATCCCCTCCTGCCTCATCCCTCTGCCTCCTGCCTCCTCCGCCCTCCTCCCAGATCTCCGACGATCTGATGTTTTTCCCAACCATCCTGTGATGATGGGTCCTCGTTTTGAAGATACAGCGCCCCGCGTTCTTCTCCTCCTCTCCTCCTCCTCCTCCTTCTCCTCCTCACCCCATAATCATCAGCATCCTCCGCATCGTCATCACCATCACCATCACCATCACCATCATCATGATCATCATCATCATCATCATCATCATCCTCATCCTCATCATCATCATCATCATCATAATCATCATCATTATCATTATCATTATCATTATCATTATCAGTATAATTATAATCATCATCATCAGTATCATTATCATTATCATTATCATTATCATTATCATTCTCATTATCATTATCATTATCATTATCATTACCATTATCATTATCATTATCATTATCATTATCAGTATCACTATCATTTTCATTATCATTCTCATTCTCATTATCGCCGTCATCATCGTCATCATCGTCATCGTCTTCATCATCATCAGCATCATCATCATCATCATCACCATCATCATCATCATCATCATCATCATCATCATCATCATCAACATCATCATCATCGCCGTCACCATCACCATCATCGTCATCATCGCCGTCATCATCACTATCATCGCCACGCATTTCGGCACACCCCTTACACGGTTCGTGGCCCCCATAGGGAGGCCGACCGAAGGTCTTAGTTGCACCGTTTGCATGCGTCGCCCCGTCCATTTCGGCACACCCCTCACAATTCGTGGCCCCATAGGGAGGTCCACCGACGGGCTCAGTGGCACTGTTCGCATGCGGCCCCCCCCGCTCATTTTGGCACACCCCTCACACGCTTCGTGGCCTCATAGGGAGATCCACCGAAGTGTCAAGTTGCACCGTTCGCATGCGTCACCCCACCAATGTTGGTACACCCCTCACACGGTTCGTAGCCCTATAGGGAGCCGCAGCGAAGGTCCCGGTGACACCGTTCGCCTGCGTCCTCCTGCCCATTTCGGAGCACCCTTCACAACACGGTTCATAGGGATCTCCACCGAAGGCCAGCCAGCCAGTGTTTCCTCCCAGCCGGTTCGGCACACCCCTCACACGCTTTGTGGCGCCATTCGAAGCTCCACCGAAGACCTAAACGAACGTCTCCCCCACTTGTTACGGCACACCCGTTACATGGTTTGTCGCCCCGAAGGGAGCTCACAGAAGGCACCAGTGGCCATGTTCGCATGCGGCCGCCCACTCATTTTGTCATAACCCTCACGCGTTTCGTGGCTCCAGAGGGAGCTCCAACGAAGGCGGTGTTCACAACGACGGTACCCGCAACTGCATATTTCTGGGTTCTTCGCCAGGATAATTTGATCCTGGCGTGTTGTCCTCAGCCTCCTGTCTACTCCGCCCTCCTCTCATATCTCCGGAAATCTGGGATTCATCCCATCAAACATATTGTTGGGCCCTCGTTTTGAAGAGAGCGCCCCGCGTCCCACCTCCTCTCCTCTCCTCCCCCCGCCTCCCTTCCCCATCATCATCATCATCATCATCATCATCATCATCATCATCATCATCATCATCATCATCATCATCATCATCAACATCATCATCAGCAGCAGCAGCAGCATCATTATCATCACCATCAGCATATTCATCATCATCACGATTCTCACCATCCTCCTCCTCTTCCTCATCACCATCACCATCATCATCATCATCCTCATCATCACCATCATCACCACTATTATCACCACCATCGTCGTTGTCATTATTATCATCATCGTCGTCATCATCATCAACAGCAGTATCATCAGCATCATCAGCATGATCGTCATCGTCATCCTCATCGTCATGACCGTCATCATCATCATCATCATCATCATCATCATCATCATCATCATCATCATCACATCATCATTATCATCATCATCGTCATCATCATCATCTTCACTACCATCATCACCATCACCCGCCTCAGCATCATCATCAGCATCACCATCAGCAGCTTTAGTATCATCATCATCATCATCATTGCAGGCACCATCGTATGAATTAGCATTGTCGCCATCATCACCATCATCGTCATCATGATCTCAGTCATCTTCACCATCATCCCCACCAATTTCGACGCCCCCCTCACACTTTTCGTGGCCCCATAAGGGGGCTCCACCGAATGCCCCAGTAGAGGTGGTTGCATGCGTCTCCCCCTCCCCCACGCAGTACAGCGCTCCGTGGCCCAGTAGGGAGCTCCAACGAAAGTTCTAGTGGCGGTGTTCTGATGCGGATGATGCGGATGATGCTGATGATGATGATGATGATGATGATGATGATGATGATGATGCTGAGGATGAGGATGAGGATGATGAAGATGATGATGATGATGATGATGCTGCTGCTGATGATGATGATGATGATGATGATGATGATGATGATGATGATGATGATGATGCTGATGCTGATGATGATGATGATGATGATGATGATGATGATGCTGAGGATGAGGATGAGGATGATGATGATGCTTATAATGAGGAGGGGGAGCATGAGGAGGAGGAGGACGAGGAGGAGGATAGGAGGATAGGAGGAGTAGGATAGGAGGAGTATAGGAGGAGGAGGGAGGAGGAGGAGGAGGAGGAGGAGGAAAGGAGGAGGGGAGGAGGAGGAGGAGGGAGGAGGAAAGGAGGAGGATAGGGGAGGAGAGGAGGAGGAGAGAGGAGGAGGAGGAGGAGGAGGAGGAGGAGGAGGAGGAGGGAGGGAGAGGAGGGGAGGAGGAGGTCATGGAGGAGGAGGAGGAGGAGGAGGAGATCACGGAGGAGGAGGAGGAGGAGGAGGAGGAGGAGGAGGCTGTTCACCAGGCTGCTCAGCATCGGGAGCCGCGCGCCGCGAGAGAGGGGGGGAGGGGGCGGGGGTGGTGGGAGGAGGAGGGGGAGGAGGGAGGAGGAGGAGGAGGAG